TGCATGTTTCAAATTTTATACGTCAGAGTATTTCGACGACACCTCAAATCATTCGTCCCAATCACCGCTTCACCAATTCTTCAGCAAATCAACACTCGAACTATTTTTTACTATAGAAAAATCGAACAATTCATTTCAAGAAAAACAACTAAAACAAAAATTTAAACAATTCATTATTATTTATGGCACAAGTTTTTTCTTATAAGTAATGGATTTTATCGTTGAGAGGCAACGATTACACGTAATTGGAGAATGATGGTCATGTAACCGGTGTGACATTTAGTAAATTAGCCTCTATGAAAATTTGGACATCTTGTCTTTAGAAATAACCACAAGTCTAAAATTTTTTTGTAACACATTGTGATGAATAAATTAGTCAGCCAAATCAAAAACACTATATACACATTTCACGTTAATGTGGATAATATTTTTGTAAGAAAATGCATAAGCATCATAAATGTAAAATGTACTATAATATATGATCGGTACTAATATTTTATGTCTATGTCACGTGATTAATGTATAGGAAACCGTATAAAAACAGACGATTCTTTAAACTAGCTTGAGATTGTCATTTGTCAATCCCCTGTACTCTTTTCAGACGGTAAAAATTTGTTGCCACGAATCATTTTGCTTGANCGGAAGTCACTCATCTTCACAATCACCTCGTGTGGCTCTCGATAAACAATCTTGACCGATTCCGGGGTTAATCTTCTGTGAATAATTCCCTTACGATGTATAGCCTCAACGCCGTTAACTATACCCGTTTTAAAGTGTTGTAAGATTTCAAAATGTAGGAGAAATAAATCGTTTTTATTGGTGGTTGAATATTATAATTACAAATGTGATATCGATTTGAGGAAAATGTTAAAAAGAGTGGGATTTTTTTTTTGTTTTGGAGGATTTTAATTTATAATAGCAAGATTTGTGAAGTGAATAAAAACCCAATGATTTGTATATTAATATGGTGTAGACAATTATATTAGTTTGTGCAACTCTGCGTGAAATTAAATGGAAATCTTTAAAATATCGATAGAAATTTTCTCTAATTAGTATATATAGTGCAGTATATTAATGTATATAGTTAATTTTTTTATTTGGAAGGAGTTGCAATATCGGATTCAAAGATTGGTGGAGAAATGTGGAATAAATGATGTGATGTTTAGAGAAGAGATTGGTGAGATAAGAAAAGATATAGTCAATTTCCATGGCGAAATGGTTCTTCTAGTCAATTACAGTAACATCAACTACACTGGTGAGTTTGAGATTGAGTTTCTTCTCTTGAGTTTTTGTGTTTGGATCTCAAAATGATCAAAAATTTACAGGAGTGGCAAAGATTTTGAAAAAGTACGACAAAAGAACAGGAAGTATATTACGATCGTCGTTTATACAAAAAGTTCTTCGTCAACCGTTTTTCAAGACGGATCTTGTGTCAAGGCTGGTGAGAGAGTGGGAGACGACGATGGACGCAGTTTTTCCGGCGGCGACGGATTTAGCGGCGGAGACAGAGGGAGAAGAGAGATTTGCGGTGGTGACTTCGGCGTCAGTGGCAGCGGGAGAAGGGATATTTCGGAATACAGTTGCGGCGTTGTTGACTATGAGAGAGATGAGAAGAGGAAGTTCGACTTATAGTGCTTTCTCACTTCCGCCGTTAAATCTTTCCGATTCCGATTTGGTTCTCCGGTCGATCCATGTCCCCTCTCCAATACCAATTCCTTACTAATAAAAATCTTAGGCTTTCAATAGTTACTCTGCTTTTCTCCAAAATCATACCAATTGGATCAACATTTTAGTACGATTACGCTTCATCCTTGGAATGGACTGAAACAATCGGACAAATATTTGTAGTACTGTGCTACGCGGTTACTGTTCATGGACATTTATCGACATTTAAATGCATTTTTCACATTTAATCGTTAACAATCATCAAGTACATAAATTTTTAAATTAATCTTAAATTCTGAATTTAATTATTTATATGACTTTTTATATTATGCAGATTTATTTACTATTAGTTGAATTATATTTAATTAGATGATAAATAATGTTTTTAGTTTAGAAAAATTAAAAATTTAATATTACATTAATTTGTGTGTCAAATCCTTAAAAATCAATATAGAAGGGGTATATTTATTTTACTTTCCCTATTTTACATGGTTAAAAAACATGTCCCCGACAAAAATAAAATAGAAAAATCTCATTTCCAACATATTCTTCTTCTTGAATCTCACTAACGTAATGACGGCCAAAGTCTCTTCTTCTTTTCTCTCCTTTAATTTCCTTTCTTGATTGACAAAACGACGACTACGACCACTACTCTCTCTCTATCGGAGGACGAAATTCCGTTTTTTTCCGATTGGAATCGGTTAATTCTCCGGCGATCTCATCAGAATGAGTAACAAATTTCTCAACAGCGTATCTCAGGGTTTTCCGTTGACCTATAATATCATAATAAATTGTGTGATATATATACCGTATCTCAGGGTTTTCCGTTGACCTATAACCCTGAGATACGGTATATATATCACACAATTTATTATGATATTATAGGTCAACTTAAAAAAGTTTATATCTGATTGCACTTTTTTGTGGTGTTTCCAGGATACGTCCGGAGAAAGTGAAGAATCATCCTTACTTTTGGGTTAGAAGTAAGAAGATAGCATTTCTACAGGCAGTACATGAGAAGATCAGAACTTCTAACAACTTCAGAGGCCTCGTGACACACATGCAAGCAAGCAGGAATGGGTGAGACCCGTATAAAACATAGTGTATGAGACAACCGACGACAAACATGTCAACGGGATAACTTTCTTCTTCCCCTCGTATCTGTTCTAAAGACAGCCACCTAGAAGTACTCGTTCAATGCGACATTTTTAAAATGATTATAAATAGTAGCTTATCACAATTAAGTTAGTTGAATTCTAATAATATAACTCGTTATCTGTCAGCAATTGATCAACAACTCTTATGTGTTAAATTTCTCATTAGTAAGTTACTCGTTTGATTTACATTACTTACCCGATCGACTAGTTGATAATAGCTTGTAAAGTTTTCCATGCATAAACAAACAAATATAAAAAAAATCTTGTGGCTCAGTGTTATACCGTTGTATTATGTCTTATAGATTTATCCATTATAAAAATATAATTCGTTATTTGTTATGTATAATTTAAAACTCATTTTAACACGTTTGATACACTAATCGGAAAAGAAAAAACTTACACATTTTAATTTTGCTAATTTCAATATATGAATACAACTCAACTTATCATCTAAACAAAACAAGAGCCTCTTATAGATCAAGGCTTCTTGCCATTAGTCAAATTACGAAAGTATTGATCTTCCCAAAACTCAACTTGACCCGAAGTCACTGATTTTCACAATCACCTGGTTTGGCTCTCGATATTGTTAGATAGCAGCGAGCAAATGCACGAGTTTTGCCCCATGCATTTGCTCGCTGCGATCAGGAATTCTTACGTTCACTTTAAGACCGTTCCTCAAATATTTAAGGTATGTTCTGATGGATTCTTTCTCACTTGGAATAATAATGTCTTTATTGATTTATTTTTCTTTTGTATTTTTGCAGACGACCAAGGTTGGATCCAATGCCGTTGGACTGCTAGACTACTTCGACAGAATCTTCCCTTCTTTCTTCATTGAAATCTATGAGCATATATACAAAAATAAGAAAGCGCAAGAAGAGTTGACAACCTATTTCTAGGAAGGAGATTATTTNTTTTGGATATTCAATGTTTTTCTTCTCTCAGATGTACTTGATATTTTGTGTTTTAACACCGTGTTTTTGTTAGATTTGTGTATTTTTCTGTGGCTTCTTTCAAGTTTTGGTGAAGTTGAGACTTAGTTTCAAGGCTATTTT